CCCTGCTCCTTGGGAGCCTGCTTCTCCCTCTGCCTCTCTCTCTCTCTCTGTCTCTCATGAATAAATAAATAAAATCTTTAAAAAAAAAAAAAGAATATTGCCATTTATAACATCAAAATATGTAGGGTTTCTAGGAATAAATAAAAATGCACAAATCTTTATAGAGAAAATGACAAAACTTGATTGAAATAAAGACTACATGGAGAGACCTACTATAATCATGGATGGGGAGGCCCGATATTACTAAAGATGTTGATTTCCTCCAAACTGATCAAGGGATTTTTTTTTTTTTTTGTAGAACTTGACAAGCTAATTCCAGCATTTATGTCGGAGAATAAAAGGCCATGAGTAGCCTGAAGAAGAATACGGCAAAAAGGCTTGTCTTACCAGCCATCAAGGATTATTACAGAGCTATAGGGTAAATGAGACAGTGTATATTGACCCCAATATTAACAACTTGACCAATGAACAGAATAAAGGGCCCAGAAACCTATATCTGTATAAACGTGACTGAAGGCTTCGAGGCCCTGCAGATCAGAAGGGTAATTGTGGGCTATTTGACGATGGTACTAGGAGAACTGGTTATTTTTGTGGATAGGAAAAAAAAGAAAAATATTGGACCCCTACTCATTCCACACTTGCGAGAATCAACTTCAAGTGATTAAAACACCAAAATGGGAAAGTCAAATTATAAATGCTTCTGGAGATAAACATAAGAGAGTGCCTTTACCACCTTGGAGTAAGCAGAGATTTCTTGAACAACACCTAGGCGCAAAAGCCATAAAGAGAAAAGAGCTAAATTCCACCTCCTAAACATTAAGGATCTCTATTCACCAAAAAAAATAACTAAAATGGAAAAGACAACCCGTAAAACACATAACTGACGACGGATATTTGGATGTGGGATGCAACGAGGAACCATGAAACACGAACGTGAATGAAGGTCAAGTAGGTAGCGCTGAGTGGGAAAGGTGAGTTGCAGATTACTGGGATTACTGGGTGCATGCAGCTGCTTGGTCCCTGCAGCCAGATGCACCTTGAGAAGAGCAGCGTCTGCCCAGCGGGGAGGGAAGGCGACTGGGAAGGAGAGTCCTCGTTCCACCACAGGAAGGTGGGCACACAGGTATGTATGGAATTGGGATCCCTTATGTCTTGCATACGTTTTATACTCTTTTGTGTCTGCGTAATATTTAGTTGAAAGGAAAAGACCAGAGAGCAGGCAGCGATCCAAGAATACACTCCAGAGCCATCCCCCGACTGGCAACTGGGGGCTGTGGTTCTGCAGGGGAATTTTATAAAGGACATGATTGGGTCATTGAAGAAAATTGGACATATATAATAGATTTAGGTTAAAACGTTATCAGGGGCGCCCGGGTGGCTCAGTCGGGTAAGCATCCAACCCTTGATTTCCGCTGGGGTCATGATCTCAGGGTCGTGAGATCAAGCCCGGCATCAGACTCCACACTGAGCATGGACACAGCTTAAGATTCTCTCTCTCTCCTCCCCTCTGCGCACCCCCCGCCCCCTGCTCACTCGCTTGCTCTCTCAAAAAATAAAAAATGAAAATGAAAAAATGAAAAAAAATTAGAGGCACCATGAACAGAGATGGGATGAGGAGGCTCTCTCTGGTGGCGGGCTGGCAACTTGCTTTGAGAGCGGGGGATTTAGGGAGCCGGCTCGCCAGGAAGAAATGCCTTGTAGCCATGTGGAATCCAGGCCTGGGACTGAGCGACTGGTGCCAGGAGATAAGGATTGGAGTTGAAATCAGGAAAAGGACAATTTCTCTGTCGGGTTGCCAAAGGAGGAAATATAGAATGGGCATAGCTGGAGGTCAAGGACCAAGTCCGGAGCTACGACCACAGAACAAGAGGACCAAGAAACGCGGACGGGGTAAGTGACATCAGGGGACCCAGGGGAGGGCCAGTCCGCTGAGTCCGCGGCCCCAAGGCGGTCAAGGAGGATTGAAATGATGAGACGTGGGTTCACACAGTATTCATTTGTGAAGCCCCTAGTCCGTAGGGGTCCCGGTGCTAGTCACGAGATGAGCAAGACCTTGAGAGAAAAACAAAAAGTCTAGAGAAGACGGGTCTCAGTCAGAACCACACCAACACGTGTCCAATGTCGCAGCGGTGGGGGGGGAGGGAAGTGCAGCAGGAGCGGGAAGGTTTTATGAGCGGGTATCACTGGGGTGTTGGCCTGGACCTGGAGGGCAGAGCCTTCCTGAGGAAGTGATGATGGGCCCAGGCCTGAAGGGGCAGAGGAGAGGGTGGGGAGGACGCAGGGGCCAGGAGCAGGGGCTTCTAGAAGCCTTGGGCAGGGGGAATAGTACAGAGTCTGGAGGAAGAAGAACAAGACATTTTAAGAATTCACGGTGTAGGTGGAGCCAAGAAAGCAAAGGGGAACAGGGCAATGGGTGCAGCCAGGAGGCCCCCGGGGGCACACGGGCCATGTCATTGCGGGTTTTGGTCTTGGCTAAAAGCAATGGAAAGCTACTAAAATAGTTTACGCAGAGGTAAACAGGTGGGATGCAGGAACATGAGGAGATCTTGCAGGATCAGGATGGTTGCATTTAATGGTGACTTTTTAATCCTGGAGGTAACATTTTCAAGAGTGGGGGGGGATGCTGGGGCCCAGCCAGTGGGGCATTAGGGAGAGATGAAAGGAAATGCTGGGAGGCAGGAAGGTTCTATGGACAAGTTATTTACTCTTCTGTGCCTTGGTTTCCTCTCTGTAAAATGGGGGGAACAGTACTTACCTGACAGGGAGTGTGCGTTTTAAATGAATTAATAAATGAACAATGCTTGGCCCATGATCGTGCTCAGAAATGTTTAGATATTGTGGCGCTTGGGTGGCTCAGTAGGTGAAGCGTCTGCCTTCGGCTCAGGTCGTGATCCCAGGGTGCTGGGATCGAGCCCCACATCGGGCTCCCTGCTCAGCGGGAAGCCTGCTTCTCCCTCTCCCTCTGCCCTTTCCCCCGCTCGTGCGCTCTCTCTCAAAGAAATACAAATCTTTAAAAAAAAAAAAAAGAAGAAGAAGAAAAAGAAGAAAGAAAGAAATGTGTAGCTATTCCTATTAGGTTCTGAGAGTTTGGTGCTTAGAGGAAAGAAATGAGGTGGAATTTTCTAGAAGGCAGCAGAATCAAAAAGCCGTGTTGTCGTTCCGGTCGGGCCTCTCGTGGACGCTCGCAGGAAGAAAGCGGGGCCAGATGGCGCAGTTGGCGCCGGCTGTCTGCGGGCACCATACCTTTGGTGGCTCTGTGGTCATCTTGATGCTGGCTTGCAAGATGGAGATAGGGAAGTCCGGGTGGGGGCTGGAGCTGAGCCAGAGGCGGAAGGAAGGGTGAGGGTCTTCCACCTGCAGCTGCTCCACCAGTTTGTCCAGATTAGGCATCCACGACAGTGACAGGTGGCAGTTCGCTAGGAACACCCAGTGTCCTGCAAGAAGATGCTGGACTCAGCGGGAACCACTCCCTGAGCCCCATCTGTCCCGCACTCTGCGCCTGCTTGCGTGGATGTGAGGGGCCGGGGATCCAAACCCAGCTCCGCCATTCCTGGGGCCTTCTGGGGAAGTGGGGGCTGACGTTACCGTCCAGGGACTGAGGCTGGAGGCTCCGAGGCTGGGGGTGGAGGAGCCAGACGGATACTGACCCTGAATCACGCCCTCCCGGAGGAGCCGAGCAGCAATGGGGGCCTGGCCCTGGCCCAGGGACAGGACGTGGAAGCGCTGGGCCATGCCCGTGTGCTCTGCCAGCTGGAGCAGGGCACTGGTGGGGTCCACGCCGGGGGACAGGATGAAGACCAGCGGGGTTCGCGGGGTCGAATCCTCCATCACCTGCCAGAAGCCCAGGGTGCGGCTTCAGGCAGGAGGCCCCGGAGCACCAGTGGGAAAGAGAGACCGCGGAGAAGGCCCCGGGGCAGTGGGGGCCAGGAAACCATGCCACTGACCAGCTTCATGTTTAGCACGGGCGGCTCGACGAAGCGGGAGCCCAGGTTGGACACGATGAACGAGGTGACGCAGAAAGCCACGCGGTCCTGGCGCAGGGAGCGGACGATCAGCATCCGCTGCATCTCATTGCAGGCGTTCTCCCACTCACCTGGGGGCGGGGGCGAGCTGCAGGCCCAGAGCGTCTGGGAGAGCAGGGG